GCACCGGTGAGCCGTCAGCACTAAGGGGACTGGCAGGCTCATTGGCATTGGGTATAGGTACCTGTTTCTGTACAGTCCACTGATCTGCATCACAGAAGGCATGCGAAACTTAAAACGCTACAGATGCTGAGAAGCCGGCAGAGACATCATAGACGGCTTCTGACGTCCTTCGAAAAGGCCACATGTCAAGAAACAAGCGACTGCGAAAGTAAATTGTTCCGTCCCATCTCCTCGATGTCTGGTTGCATTGAGTGCAACGAACCTCAGAAATGCTCACCAACTCCCTGCCGGGACCCGACTGCATGCTCGACAAGCCGGTCTGCTCGATAAGGCGAGGACACAAGACACCACCTTTCCCTGGAAGAGTTCGGAGATTATTGACTCCTTAGGACAAGATGAAAAGAACACTCCACAAAACAGAACCAAACACCTCTGTCCTCCCCGTTTTCCGTGACTCATGTACACCACTTATGTTCGAGAATCTGTGTCGTTTCACTTTCCCAGCCTCAACAGTTACCACATTCCATGGACGAGTGCTGAGAACCCCCAACGAAGTGCGTTCGGTGTATTTTCTTGGAGCTCGCCGCTCCACCTGATCGGGTCTTTGGCGGCTTTGGGATAGGCCCAAGAATGCCCAAGACCTCAAATCCATCTCACTCAAGGCCTCAACTGGAGCTTGGCTTTTGCAGGCTTCCAAAAGAGCTTGAGGCCGGGCCATGTAAGAACCATTTGCAAAAAGAAAGAGATGAAGAGCTTCTAGATTTCACATGTGGGGTGGTCCACCATGTAGGTCATGACCTGCAGCCATGACCGGCTGTAGATGTCCATGGGGGTCACTACAGAGGTCGCACCCAACCTCTCGTCGGTGTGGCGGCTGGATGTTTGGGACAGGAGCGATGGCCCCTTGGAACAGGTCTATGTCCCATTTGAGTCACCCGAGCAAGCAGAGCGATGCCCACTTTGAGTGGGTTGGCGAGCTGTGTTCGAAGCACTCTGTGGCTTGGTTAATGGTTTGTTGTGTTATTCTGAGACGCAAAAGCCCTCTGATCTAACTCACCCCCACAACAACTGCCCAGCCGGACCGGCCTTCAGAGCTTTCCCCCGCAGATGCCATGTTTGGGCCTGACGGAGAAAGGAATGAGAAAGGGAAGCCAAACCATGAGATGGGTGTGTATCCTTTTAAGAGCTCTTGTTGGACCTTATGTCCATGGGGAATGGTGGGTATGTCAAACTACCTAGGGAGACCGAACCGCCGGCGTTCCGAACCCCCTGGAACAGGTTCGGAAGAGAAGGCAGCCAGTCATGACCCAGCCAGGGCCGCCGGGTGCACAGGATGCGCCGGAAACGGCGATCATAAGGTTGAGACCTGACGAGGCTTGCTCCACTTCTTCAGCGCTTTCTGCCACTGGCCTGCCACGCACGACCAACGCTGCGGAACCAAAAGATTCGAACACGGCAAAGGGCCTGTTGCCAGCGGAAGTCTCAGAAAGCCTCCGGCATCGCTTAGGCTCGTTTGGTTGGTTGGACTGGTTCTTCTTCAGTGGGGAAAAAAAGACAGATCGGCTCGAACCTGATCTCCCCCATATCTGTGTTGCTTTCTGGCACTTGGCAAAACCTCAGCTTTTTCACCGTGCACACCCACGGAACGTCGCAGAACTTCTGGAAAAAACATCCAAAAAGACTGGAAACATCCTGAAGACCAGAATGAACCAACGTTTGTTTTCCGCCCCTTCTCCACTGCCGCTAGTTGCGCGCAACTGCGGGTTGCCGGGCTGCATCAGGTGCTGTGAGGTTGAAGAGCCTGAAGAGCTCCGTTCCAGCACTTTGCCTCGCTTCATCGTTCGGACGCAGCTTTCGGGTGCCAACGCAGCTTTCGGCGCGATGGAAACGATTTCAGGAATCGGATGCCTTTGTCCAGCTTGTGGACGGAAAGGCGAACCGCCTCGTTACCTCCTTTACGGGGGCGCTCGTTCGTTCGCTGAGCCCCCGAACCTCCAGAAGGTAGGAAGTCAGTGGAAGCAGTATTTCCTGCAGATGGGACATGTGCCGTCGGCCGGTCGACTGGCTGGGCGCACAGGCACAAAAGACTCACCTGCACTCCGCCGATCTGATCGAGCATCATGACAAGCATTGCCTGGGAAATCACCAACCAACGCCCTGCACACCCACAAGACCTGCGCACACTAGGCCTACAGAAACACATCTCGGATCAGCAACATCTGGCTTCTCTCAAAGACTTCAACATTGCTCTTTTTCTGCTGCGTCCAGAAGTAAACAATTCACTTTCCGTAACAACCCCGCGAGCACCCCTCCGACTCAATGTCGGTTGCTGAGGCTGGGGCCATTCTCGCCCGAGTGACTTTCGTCCTCGACTTCCTCTTTCCTGAACTGGACCCATAATCAAATAGATCAACACGACTCTTCGTGTGGACTGGACAGAAACACTTGCTTCTGCAGGTTACATCAAACTTCTGGAGATACGAGATAAACACATTGACTGGTATAACAGCAACTGCAACCAGCTGCGCAACGAGACGAGTCAGCGGCTTGGCAAAGTAGCTTCACAAAAGAATTGGATGTGTCTGCTGTGTGCTCCATGGTTGGCGTCCGTGGTCCCTTTGTTGGCACTGGTCTTGAGGGTGTATCTACAGGATCTCCAGGATTGCTGCCGCAAGGGTCAAGTCGAGAATCCAGAAATGAAGCCACTATCCTTGAACATGTTCCCATATAACATTGCATTCCTACTTTCTGTGAATAAAAGATGAACGATGTCTTTTTCTACTCTCGTTGAAGAATGGATCACCCTGCTCGTTCGTTTGGGGCTTCTGGATATGCATCGCTCATCCAGGCAGATGTTTTGCTTTGCTCTGCATCTGGGTAGGCGTTCCATGAGACCGTTTCGTTTCGTCCAAAGCAACGAGGCGGTCCGAAAGCTGGTCCTGGTCCAGCTCTTGAGCTATGCAGGTTTACAAGGCAGCAGCTCAAAGGCATACAGCGAAGCTCTCTCTTAGTGCCAGACACCTCCCTTCTTAACTCTTCGTGGATGTTGTCCAAGACACATCGCAAAAACTCCTGCAAATGTCGTGCCCCAGGCGATGCACCAGGAGAAATAATGATATATAATCAAATAGATAGAATCAGATAGAAATAGATAGTTGCATTATCAGATAGAAGATAGATCGGTCAAAATGATATCTGATAGATTGAATAATGATAGATAGGTCAGGGGACTTATATAATTTAGGTGTTCTTTGATTCAATGAGATCTGATCGGGCTGTCAAAGACCCATGCGTCCCAAGTCCTGGGAGTCTTGCTGTGCGTAGCCTTGAAACGTGGGATTCAGCCTCAGCCGCATGAGGGCACGCATGAGGGCACGCCTTTGGCCATGGTGTTAAAAGTAGACATATAAAACGCATATGTTTGTTTATATGATATATGATATATGGAACTATACAACCTGTGGGTGCCTCGCTCTGAGTTTTTGGAGATACGCCCACACATGCTTTCAGGGGAACATTCTGAAGGCAAAAAATGCTTGCAAAGCGTTCCTCTTAGCCTTCCATGTTGGCTCGTGTCAGGTGGCTACCGCCCCCAGTTCAAGACCCAGCTCCGTGTATTGACAACACATTGTTCATGTTTCTTCACATGTTCTTCACCCGAGCTCCTTCGCCCCCGACTGTCGCTCGGCCGCGGGTCCCACCGGTCCACCCGGTTCCGAGGGGCTGCTGCACCGCTCGGAGCACGTCCTCCGGTCGGTGGTAGGGCGCGGACCTCGGGCCGTCTGGCGCGAGGCGTGTGGGAGACGAGGTCAGGTGTGGCATGTGATACTCCTATGTGTTTCTTGAAAGGAGAGGATGTGGAACTTGAGTTATGGAAAATGCCACATCTCTCTGAAAAAAACACCTCCAACACACACTATAAGGTGGTTTTTTGTCGTTTGAATGCAGGTCTTCTGTGTCCGTTCGACGGATCGAACGAGTAAGTGCGCCACACATTGGCACCTCGGTGCAACCACATGCAACGGAGCGGCGAGAGTCTGCAGATGTCGATGACTCGAACCAATCACGGAGAGATGGCCCCAGTCTACTCCAAGTGGCCCCAGTCTTGCTCGAACCAATGTGCAAAAGCCATCAAAAGCTTTTGCCGAGGGCCTTGAGCTTTGGACCTTGGAGGAAGCCGGTGAAACTACAAGGCCATGAAACACTGGAAAGCCTGGGCATTGGTCCCCACAAGAAACCCACTCAAAGACAGCACTGAAGGGTTCGCCATGCAAAAACTTACATGAAAAGCTAGGACTAGGAAAATGAGGGGATATCCCCAATGTGAAAGACCTCCTTGAACCATCTCAAGGCTCCCAACGAAAAGGCGTGCGGACAGTGGCGAAAGTACTTCTGCATTCCATGCGAGTGCCTCAGGCTCCAAGTCTCACCAAAATGTGCAGAGGCAAACTAGTGGACTATTGGACTTGGTCGAGCCCCTACACCCCACTAAGTCCAGTAAAACCGGACCGTGACCAATGGACCAAAAACGCCGAAACGCCGAACCGAAGAAATCCTTTCCGTCCTCCCAACTCGGAAGAATTGTTTCTGAAAATCTGAGGGGATGGACGATAGGCACTGCAAGGCTGCATTCATAAAACAGGTGTTGCCCAGGTTTGATAGCCTCAGACGGCTAGAATCTCTGCACAAGACAGGTCTCCTAATCTCTGAGCTGAGCTCTGCCTTTTTTGTGTCAACCGGGAGTGCTGGGCATGTCTAACGAGTCTATTATGTATGTCTGTATGTCTCAGACCAGTACCTAGTTTCCGAGACTTGTTCCCAGCCTACAAAAAAACCTCAAACATGTGGCAAAACAGGCAAAAATTGCAAGAACGACCTCGAAGAACGACCTTTTGCTCATATTTCAATACTGCCAGCCGTCGAAAGGTATAGTACAGGTGCACATGGAGCATCGCTGCTCATTCTCCACCTAGAAAAGCCATTCTTGTTGAGATCGGAGGCCGGCGATCACATCAGGATTGATTGGGAAAGTGCTCCAATCTTTCGGCAAGAGAGATAGAAATGAGACGGGTGGATGTTGGCTCTCAACAAGACTACTCAGAGGAGTCGAACTGGCGACAGCGCATCAAAACTGGCAAAAAATGAAAGACGAAAGAACCTCCTTCACTTCGCTCCTCTTCTGGCACTGTATATTCTGGCTGAATGCAGGCTTGGATCGGAAAACACCAAACCATTTGCCTGAAAAGTCTGGCATTGGCTCCAAAACACCATCATCTGCCTGCATCTAGAGCATTGAAAGCAACTGGCCAAACACGCGATGCCGTAGCTTTTGGGAATCGCCTCGGCCACATACCTCCGGGCGCAGCAAGGGCACCAAGAAAGACTGTGACAACCAAGACATCGTCTGTTGTCTGGCTTCCTGTCGTGCGGTTTTGCGCCTCGCCGCGGCCACCAGAAGGGAAGCATTTGTTCGAAAGCCTCCCAGATGGGCCACTTGGTCCGAAAGCTGATCTCTTTGGTCCAAAATCATGTTGCCGGGCTGTGGGTCCTACCCCTTTGGGTCCAACCCAAACCGAAGACCCACTATGCATCGTCCCCCAAGCGCCTGTATGCTTCACTTGGCCTGCTCAAGCACGCGCAATGCCTCGTCCACCTGTGAGGCACACGCAGGAACCGCACAGTGTTAGGAACCCTGGAGGTCTTGGTGAATGACACTTGAGACATCATGTAGACTCTTGATGATATCTAAAAAAACACATTTGGATGCATGAACTTGCGGTCCACGAGCGCGCAAGTTGAACCTCTTCTACCTCGGGGGGTAGGGAGTTTGATTCATCCCGAGCACCCAGCCGGACACCCAGCTTCCGCCGATGGGTCGGCACCCGCACCGGCCGGTCCCACCACGGGCGGGCGGGCTCAGGGGGGGGAAGGGGGGCGCTCTTTCGCAAATAGCCCGGTGTGGGCCTTTAACTTGAGCTGTGACTCGGAGTCAAGCAAAGAAATCAATTCGGAATTGTCCATCCTCGGGGTGCAGTGGATAGAGGTGAGATGAACTGCAGTGAACTTGGCACGTGAGTGCACACGTCGCACACGCACGTGAGTGCACAAGAATAGAGAGATGGCAACACAGAAAAAGGTTGAAAGACATGCAACAAGCAGCGCTGGTCAAACTCAGGACCCGACTCGAGCATCATTCCTTTGCAGCAAAGAAGCACCAAGGCTGATGCAAGAGGTTGAAATAGACTCACTTGCCTTGAAACTGCAGATCTGGACTAAGGATCTTGCCGGTAATTTTGCCAGCAAGCTCGGGCTGCTGTTTGGCAACTTGCGGATAGAGCCTGATGGCAACGGGCTTTGTGGCCCATCATTTTTTGGTCATGATACATGTCGTTTCATCTAAGCCCATGGGTTATTACTTATTATATACTATCGAAAGCCTGACATGAACTGAAGGTTTGGATGACACGGGCTGTTTCCAGTAAAGTAGACTTTTGATTAAGTTTAACAGAGCCCCCAAATAGAGATGTCAAACCATTCTGGCTGGTCTGTTTTTGTGTTGACCAACAATGTACATTCCTTTGCCCTGAGGAGGGCCTTTCTCCAATGATCTGCTTTTGCACCGCGGGAGGAGCTGCAGACAGGCCAGCCGGCGTGAGGGGCTGGTTGGAGCCTGGCTGACATCGAACTTCGAAAACCAAGTAAACCCAAGTGCCTGTGGCTCTGCGGGGCTCTATTCAGAACCCTAAACGGACTCCCTCTATGAGGAGCTCTCTCTTGAAGGTACAGTTCCTAAAGCCCCGCACACATCCTCCGTCCTCCATCCCCCACCGGGTCGGTCCGTCCGCCTGGCGTCGGACCCGAAGGCTGGTTGGGGGCGCCGGGGTTGGGGCGCGCACCTTGCGGCTGCATGGGCTGCATCGGCATGCCTCCCAGATGGCGGGACGAAGCGACGAGACGCCCCTGGTGGCTGCTGCTGTGAGACTCCGTAACTGGGCTCTGGGAAGGCATCGGTTTGGAGGAGTAGGCAGTGTTGGGGGTCTCCTGAGATGGACGTCAAAGGCGTCATACTAAGCCAATGAACTCGATCAAAGGAGTCTGATTCTAGGCAGGTGTTCAGCTTTCGTCCAAAACTCCGTCTGCAAAGGTCCTCCTGCCTGGGCGCATCATTGGCATTGGCTGCATCGGGGGGGCGCATCATAAAGCCCTTCATGCCCATTGGTCCCATGGGGTTCATTCCCCCCTGCATACCAGGCATCCTCGGTTAAGTCGAAGAACCACCGCATCGCGAAAAATACGAACGCATCGCTTCACACCAACCACGGGCCGCGCGACCGGGCGGGCAGGCCGGCCAGCTGAGGTGAAATCCAGCTGGCTTGTTTGATTGCCTTCCTACAAACAAGCTATGCGAGGCGCTTCCTGAAGGCAAAATGACTGAACTCGACCAGGCCCCAGTCAGGAGGTCTTAGCCTTCCATTTGATCGAAATCCTCGCAGACCTCTTTCTCCCAGACCATCGGGTGCGGACCTCTTCAACTCATGACGTCTCACGCCGAGGGACGGGCCCATCATGCCCTTGCCACCACCGCCCATGGCTGGCGGCATTCCCTTGCCCATGCCACCCATGGGTCCCATCGGCATGCCACCCTGGGGCGTCGCACCACAACGGGCGTGAACGCACTGAAGCCGCAACGGCGTGTGGCATGGGGCCGCAGGGGTTCCGTAAAGCACATCAGGGTTCCGTAAAGAGATGATGAGAGATTCCAGGCATCAAGAAGAACAAGTCCTGAACTTGGAAGTTTTTTCATGTTCGACTGTGGATCTTCAAGACATACATTGACATACAGCATACCTCTGAATTTTACTTATATTGCTGAATGTTAGGTTTGAAAATTGTTGGGACACCTACATCGCCAAAAAACTTCGCTCAGCATCTCTCCCTGCCCCGCCTGCATTCCCTTTCCCATCATGCCCATCTGTGGGCCACCCATCATGCCCTGTGGTCCATTGCCCTTGCCCATCTGGCCCATGCCCATCTGGCCCATGCCCATCCTCAGCATTCCACGTGCTGCGTAGCCTTTGGTCGACCGGTAAAGACAAGCGTTCTGGGAGGTTTTACAGCCTGGGATGGTTCATCATAAACACCCTCTGTCAACAGTTGGGGATGGAAAGCCCCGAAGAAACCAAGGACCGAAGAAATACCCGAAGAGACTGGAAAACTGGCGGATTTCTATGAGCCCTGCGGGTAGACTTGCTGCATTCCACAGCCTGCATTCCAGAGCCATTTGTTTTATCATGAAGATCTCCACTCACCGATGCTCGTGGGACGCTGCACCTCCTTGCTGGCCGTACATCTGCATGCCTCCACCTTTCTTTCCTTTGCCTCCAACGGGTGGAGCAGCTCATGAGCGGTGACGAGCGCACGGTCGGAGCGAAATGAGAGTGCATCATCACACCGATGACTCCCGGCCTTTGCCCATACCTGCGCAGCAAATTCAAGCGGTTTTGCGGCAAGGGAAAAAGATGCACAGCTACAAAGCAAATCGCCATGAAACCTCCTATGTCACAGCACCTAAGCAAAGTTGCTGTAGAAAGTCTTATGAGTAAGTGGCTCGAAAAAAGAAATGCTTTAGACCGAGTGAAATCCCATAGAGTGGTGCTTTGAGCCAGCAACCATCGGCCAGCTACATCGGCTGTTATGCTGATCAGCACGTGATCAGTCGATTGGCGCCGACAACTCAATCCGAACGGAAGGAGATCGGCCTTTGCCCATGCCACCTGCAGATCAATGGCAGAAGGGTATGCAATAGTTTAATAGAGAGGTCTCCAACCCATGGGTGTTGGTCGATGTGTCCTTCTTCCAGTTCTCCCTTTTTTTTTGCTACACGCTCAAAACAAGAAGCGTCCATGGGACCAACGGATCGTACATGGCTGCCGTTCCGTTCTCCTTCAACCTCCGCTGGTTCCCGGCCTTTCTCGGCACTGGGCGAGTAGCGTTGTCGGAGACGCTCGGCACGAGCCTGGGCAGTGGGGAGGGGGAACCCCCCACGCCACGCGGTGTGCAAACGGGCTCCACTGGCAGCTCAGAAAGCGTAAAGACGGTGCACCTCGCGCTTCTCTGCCAGTCCCACCTGAATTGACGTGAAACCCCCGTGATCCGAGCTTTGCCCGGGTCATTACTTGCAGTGAACCGTTGCAGTTTGAGCGTTTGTGAGGCCAGCGCATACAAGGGCTTGCCTTTCACCACTTTGAGGTGCATCTCAGTCACAGCCTGCCCAGTGCACACTGTTGAATAGAGGTGCCAGAACTTGACAAGGGACAACAGCAAAACGGACCTTGGTTGCTTCATCTGGCGATGAGAAGCAAACGAAGCCAAACCCTTTGCACTTTCCATTGTCTTCCTGGCTCAGCTTTTCAAATAAAAGCTAGCGCTGGGAATGTCGAACGATCGAACACACAGCGCCTTCATTGCAGCCACTGATGTGATCGTGCCAAACTCCTCGAACAGCGCCTGTGTCGACACGTCACTCACCTTTGGATGAACCGGAAGAGTTTGGACCTTGAGGGAATCATCATCGGTGTCTTCGTCCAAGTTCTTGATGTAGAGGTTGACACCAGCCTGAGGCTGGCTTCAGGGTTCTTGGAGGTGAAAACACTCTGAGATTCCTTGACTCCGAAAGGTTTCTGACGGTGGAAGACTGAAAGACTGTGGCATCTGAGCATGCTGCAAATCGACTGTTGGGAACGGGGCGCTCCTGCAGGGAGCGCAAAATCTTCATGTCGGTTTGCGCGCTGTTTCGCAACAGCTGCGGCTTAGCGTGCAGCTGCACCCCACTGCGGACGGCTGCCTTCTGTGGCATTTTCTCTTTCAGCTCCATGGCACGCTCCGTCTTGGATTGGGCACGCCTGGCAAACAAAAAGAGATGACTCAGATTTGAGATACAAAGTAAGCTGGTTGGTACTTTGTCATGAGGATTGGACATATCATCTTGAGGCTAGTTGGACGTGGACATAGTCCGAGCTTTTCTGTTTGCCAAGGTTGGACTTCCTGGCTCATCTCTGAGAGCAGGGCTGGACATATAGCAAGTAGCTCTTGATCTCCTAGCGCTGAGCCCAGGGGGATTCAGTGGACGCGAAGGACAGCGCAGAAGACGGGGACGAAGGGAATCCAAAGGAAACCCACAGGGGTGACGACTGGTGGAGGCCATCGCTACTAGGTTGGAGGCCATCGCTACTAGGTTGGAGCTTCCAAGGTCCTTGGTGACCAAGCAAAAAGGTGGTCAAAACCCCCTTAGCTTGCGATCCTCAAATTAGTCGAAAGTCCATTTACCTTGATAAGCTGGCTAGCGTTTCTATGTATTAGAGACTACTATGCATGGACGCAGGGTCTGGTGGGAAAAGACAAAGCCGGCCGACTGCACTTGCGACCTTTGCTCGGTATGATTGCTCGGCGGCCTTGTCCTTCTCTTCTTCCTCTTTCTCCTTGTCAGCTTCCTTCTGCTCCTCAAAGAAGAAGACCAAAAACCCATCATGATCGCATAACCAAAGAAGAAGAAACTCCCCTGGTTCGCCCGTCTGATCTGACACCGGAAGCCCGTCACCATCCTCCCCCTGACTGCTACTCCCACCTCCGAGCGGACATCCTTTTGATGGAACAATTCAACGGCCTCGCGGGAGCAGGAGGAGTTCGGTGTTCCACCAGGAAGTTTGGAAAGGAAGACTTTGAACTTGGAACGTCACTTGAGGTTGTCCAAAACTAACTCTACCTGGTCCCTAGACCGCTGTTGGCCTTCTCCCTTCTGAAACCCTCTCCATTGGGTTTTGGAATTATTCAAGACACCTAGACACCCCCTTGTCCCACTGGGTTTTGGTCATCCATTCCTTCCAGGGGGACGAAGTGGAACTTGCGCTTGCTCTTACGCTTGCGCTCGGCGTGAAGCGCGCACATCCGCGCGCGCATGCGCATTCCGGCGTGCCTTCTTTGCGATGTCGGAGCTTTCAAAGTTCACGAAGGCAAACCTGGAAGGCCCATCCAAAGAATGCTCCGAAACCGTCGGGGCGAGGCGACCGGCTCGGTTGCTCGGCGTCGCGACCGGCTTCCACACACGCGGGCCTGCGGCCCTTAGCATCCTCGACGAAGTGTGAGGAAGTGATGGGACCAGCCTCACAGGGACTGTTCAATCATAGAATAGACTAGTAGACTAGGCTTCATGACACTTAAGATTATTTTAAAAAAAAAAGTGTGTGTGTGTGTATAAATCACGAAAAAGGCACTTCATGTGGTTGTCTCTCCCAAAAGGCCCAGTGACCCTAGTCGTAAGGATGAACAAGTTGCTTGGGCTCCCCAAAACCCATATTGCCTTCTCCGATCGGTCACAGCTTTCGAGTGATTCAGGGATTCATGTTTGGATCCCTCTCCTCAGACAGCACTGTCTTGATCTTCTCCTCATCCCACTCTGCCGGGAAGTTCTTGATGTACAGGTTGGTGAAGTTCCTCAGGACAAGCGGCGAACCTGCTGAAGCTCCCCCAAGTCCCAAGTCTAGCCCAAGGAACTGGATGACAGGCCGGTCGCGCTCATTGTGCTTCAAGAACCTGCTGACGTTCACAGTCTGCTCGCCAATCTGCATTCCATTAACTCCTCAGGTGACTGATCGACATCCTGAACTCGACATCCCTTGATTCTGCCTGTGCAGAAGTACTGCGCAAAAAGCTAGGGCACAAACGCTCAATTGCTTGCTGCGCAGCCTCTTCTGTCTCATAATGCACGAAACCATAACCTCAGCAGCTAACCGTGCACGGAGTGAAAGGAGTGTTTTCTGGACGGTAGACTTTGCACAAAACTCATTGTAGCTTTCTTGATCTTTCGAACGAAAGCATTGCATCTTTTGGTCCTGGAAACTTGCGCTGATTATATAAGCCCACTCTTCCGGCCGCTGATAAGCCACTCCACTCTTCTGGGATCGACTCTGACTTTGCTATTATCAGGGCATCAGTTTCCCGTCTGACACCATGGTAATGTGAACAGACTTTCTGCAATGGATCCAGAAACCTCTCTTCCTTTTAATTTGAGTTTGGTTGATCCCTCGGCTTTTTCCCAGAACAGTGGTCCTCACGTCGTTCATCTCTCAAGACTCCAAGACTTGCCAGGTCTATCACCGCTCAAAACCCCATGCATTGTTTCGGTCTATCACGGTATGTCTATTGATTATTATTCAAGTGGGGCATGTCCTTTCTTGCTTCCATGTCTCCTAATACAACACATGTCCGCACCACGGCTCCCATCCGGCTCCGGCTCCGGGTCCGGCTCACCCTCCATCCCATCCGGGCCGGCCGACCACATGACTTGCCAGCGGCATCACAGGCCACCTGGCAGGCCATGTATCCACCATTCTGGGCCGTTGAAAGGGCACAAAACAGGGAGACCATGCTGCGGTCTCCCTATTTTGACTTCGTTTTCACTGATGACGTCTTGCTAAGCAAAGAGCCTTGCAGGAGAGGATATTGCCGAAAAGGCTGAAAGTATCATACAAAGCCTGCGAACAAGTCGACGCCGGAAAGCTCCCAAAGAAATCCATTCTGCAAAGAAAAATTGAGGGCGAAACACCCGAGCCGCCTTGTTGTCAATAGCTTTGTCAAGGTTCTTCACGAACACATTACCCAAACCACTCTTGCGCAAGCTGGGATCCCTGGTGCGGAGAGGGCGGATTTTCACGTGATGCGTGAGAAAAACTGCTGCCCACCTCTGACTCCACATGATGCGGCAGGCACGCCCCTGCGCATCGAAACAAGCTCTTGCAACTGAAACACGTGCATAAACCGAAGCAAATAGAGATGGACAAAGACACACCAAGAATCTGGCTAAGTGTGTTTCTTAAGTTTGGCTCAGTTTATGTTCCCAATCTGACGCCGAAGTCTTGAAACTGGCGCTCGGTTCCCCATCTCCAGACTCAGTACGGGGCGGCAGCCGCTGAGTCACCAACCTTGATAGCTGAGTAATTCAGGGTATCCAGGGCACGCTCCGCGTCAGAGACACTGTGAAAATTGACATAGCCATAGCCCAGTGACCTCAGGATCATCACTTCCAAGACAACACAATCCTCAATCTCATGCACCAAAGTCTCACCCTCACCTCCAGAAAAGAAAGAGACCCAACTCCGCCGTCTCACAGAACCCAAAAAAGAAAACGGGTCACCCCATGACACCCCATGCCACCCCGTTCACCCACCTCGAGTCTCCGGGCTTGCGGGTGACGGTGTCTCGACAAACACGGATCGAGGCCACAGGCCCCACCGAGTTGAAGATCTCGTAGAGCATGGCCTGTCACCGGTCCCGGTCCGCCGGATCCCGGTCCCTGGGCCGGTCCCGGGGCGAGAACGAAGGGAGGGCCGGTTGGTTCGAGCGTCTTCACGACGCGTCGAGCAGTCAAAGTCACGACGCGACGAGCGACGCGAAAGTGGAGCGACGCGTCCAGCCAGGTGCCTGGCGGATGTTCCATGATTTGTGCGACGCACAGGTCTCTCGGTTGCTCGGTTTCGAGCGAAACGACGGGGCTGAACCCGAAACGGCCTCGGTGACATCGGGGTGTAAATCTCCCACGTACAAAGAGGCGAATTGCGGCACTCCGGCCATCCTGAAGAAAGTGAATAGAGGGCTCTTGTCCTGAGGCACATGTCAGAAGTGCTTGTTCGGAGGAACGATTTGGGAAGCATAGCTGGACACAACAAGAGTCAGACACTCCTCAAATGCTCCTGAAGTATTCTGCGAGTTGCAGAATTTGGAGGCCTCTGCTGCAGTCAAGCCAAACAAGACTCAGGTACCATGCAAACTGACTTCTGCTTGCGCCAAGTGGCTTAGGCAGTAGAGCTGTTTAGGCTTTTGGGGGTTATGCGATTTTTAGGTTTTTAGCCCGCAATTCGTTGCGGGCTTGAGCCAAGACAGCATGGGCACCATGTACGAAGCTGCTATCGGCTTTCACCAACACATTGCTCCAAGGGCCTTCTTAGGTGGGCAGAGTCACTTGCTGTCTCTTCCTTCTCTTCACCTATCTTCACCTGGCCAAGCTTCCCTGCCCCAGGAGGCCTTTCCTGCTTTTTTGCGAAGTCCTGCCAAGCTCTCCACTTCAAACGGCCTGTGTGGTTCGTTCAGAAAAGGCCTCGAACGATGGCCCTCTTCGTTTCGATGAGTCGGGGGGGTTCTCCAACGACATGTTCTCCTCCCAAAGCGCGGATCGCTGTAGCTACTGCTGCTGCGCCTCGCGTTGCGCTTTGCGAACGATCAACTCTCTGCCAGGACCTTCCCAGTGACCTTTTTGGAGTCCCTAAGTGACCTTTTGCAAGCCTAAGTGACCTCAAACCAGTGGATCAAAAGGTCACTGGGAAGATCCAGGTGAAGAAAACTGATCTCATAGCTAACTGTCAAGTCTGGTTCTGGTCAAAACCTCACCCCAAAAGCATCAGATGGGTTGAAATTTGTGGGACCGACCATTTTGCCTGCATTTAGGGCACGGGATGCTCTGCTGGGTCCAGAAAGCCAGAGGGTCCATGGGCGTTTTGGACCCACTTCACCATCGGGCTCAAACCAAGTCTTCTGCACAGGCCTCTCGCCACCTGTGATGGACATGCCAGGTTCCTGCCTGTAGCTACCTCAATCGCAGGGCCACATGAAACTCCTCCCTGCGTGCCTCTTGAGACAAAGCTGCAGAGCTCTGAGGACCCAGAACTGCAAACTGAGGCGCTCACCCATTGCCGATCAGTGTCCTGGCGCTCTCCGAAGAACAGTGGGGTCTATGTCTTGGAGCCGGCCACCAGCAGAGAACGGCCACCCGCCTATGTCTGGCGTTGGCCACGTTGGCCCTGGGACACACAGCGGTGGTGTCTCGACACTCAACGGTTTACAGGTGTAGACTCAAAACAATCACAGTTGATGCAGTTTGGGTTGATGCAGCTGGATGCGACATACAGCTTGAGCATTCTATACATCAGCCAGTTGATGCAGCGTCCAGAATTTCTGTGCAGACTCTGCGCAAAAACGGACGAGCCTGTGCACTCTTCCCAGGGAGAGCACAGCTGCCCGCATGGAACACCCATCTGACATTATCCCACCCATCTCTCCTCTAGGGGCAAGAACCACATCGCAACGGTCAATGAAGCACAGTCACTCAGGTCTAGCCAGTCTAGCCAGTCTAGCCAGTCTCTAGCCAGTCTAGCCAGTCTAGCCATAGTCTCTCCAACCACTGGCCGCGTTTTTGGCAGCAAATTCCAGACGCTTCGCTCAACCTACCTTTGTAGAGAGCGTGGTCTCAAAATAGCATGAGGAGTGAACCACCGATGATGACTTGCTCATATTTTTCGAGAAATCAGTTCCACTGCAAGAATCTCCGCGCCACCCTTGAACGAGAATAACTGGGAAATTTCATCAGCGGCTCAGGGACCCTTCGAATTAGCTCAGAAAACTAAAGCCAGGAATCGTGATCAAAACTCCTGAGTCTAAAGTTGCACAAGAATTGGAAGGCTTAAAGAACTTAAGACGCAAAATGTCCGACTTCATGAGTCGGACTCCAAGCAGCACATGGGATCCTCGTTCCCATCCAGGTCACAAAGACCAGCTTCCCCTGATCTTGGTGTTCACTGCACGTGGCAGCCTTCATGGGATGAGCGATTCGTTCTGGACACGGGAGGGTCGAGCCTGGAGGAAGAATGGCGGAACGCCAGAGTGTCTGGAGTTGATTTGATCTTGATGAGTTCGGTCCACAATTTTTCTTGTACAATCTCGTTCACCTGATTGAAACTTCCGTGGGTGTTCAGAATATGTTTCTTGATCTTCTCCTCATCGGACGTGATAGAAGCGGTGGCTTCTGCAGCATCCACTCGACAAATGTGGATCAACTCCTCGAGCTTTTCGACCCGTTGATCTACCCGGACTTCAGGCATGATCAAAGTAATCGGTTTGTCCAAACAAACCGCGGTATAGATCTCGAAAATACACCAAATGCGACTGGTGTAAGTGCTGTGTGTGTGTGGCATTTATATGTTGCCACAGCCTGGGCCCACCGAAGTGGGTAGCTGGAGGCAACTTTCGGGGCGCCAAAGCGCAAAAGTGTTCGAAGCAAACAGCTTCGCCACCAACCCTGCTGCACGGCGTGCAGTCCATTGATGACATCTTCCCGTTTCCGACAAGGCAGAAATTAAATAAAAGGAAACACCAAGCACATAAGGTCAGCTGAGAGCTGATGACTCGACATGCCTACGCAAATCAAGCAGAGCTTGTTTCTGTCTTGCAATAGCAAAACTACTCCAAGCCATAGCATCATCGACTCGACGAGCCCAAGCACTCAAAGAATCGGCACAGGGCTGCGCAACGGCCTGAACAGCCGCATCAATTCTGTCATTGTAAGTGCTGTTTTGGAACTTGTCCACGCACATCAGCACTTTGTTTGCTCTTGCTAACGGCTTGGCAAAAACTTCCAAGAGGGAGTCAGTGTCCACTGTTTCACCATCTTGCAGCATCCTAAACTGGTTGTTCACAAAAAAACACCACCAAACATACACTGAGGTCATGGGAGCACACCTCCCAAAATGGGTCCGCCTTGATTCTCTGTCCCACCACCTGGCCAGAGCGTGACAAACATCATTTAGGAAATAGGTCCACGCCCACGAGAGAAACCAGTTGGCACGGTCACTCTTTCCTTCTTTCCACAATACATCTACAAGGCTGCAATCCACTTTTCCATCACGTGGACAAATGTGACCCTTTCCCAATGCATGTGGACCATAAGCCAGTAAGCCAGCCAATTGGTGAAAATTTGGATTTTCAGGTGGCTTGCAAACCTCCAAGTCATCCCAAAGACAGGCACCAGACTCCACATCAGCACAGTCCCGGATTTTCACATTGAAGCCAGACTGGGTGACTTTGCAATTGCCATGGGACCGCCATTCTGTTTCTTGTGCTTTTCGGTGATACAGACTTTGTAGCTCACCTGCCACAAAACTCAAAGACACCCCAAGATCCTCAGAAATGTATCTCCGTGCTTCGAGCTCATCATATGGGGATGATACAGCAATTGTATTGACTTGTGAAAGGTATGAAAGAAGCTCAGCTTGAACGCAACGTTCTACTGCCTGGTTGACATGCTCGAATGAGGCATGGCACCTCTTTATGTGATCCTTGATGGCGTCCGCGTCTGCTGGGTTGGAAGCAGAGGCACTTGCACAATCAACCATAGAAATCTGGCAAAGGTCTTTGACAGTGGTGACAGTGCCACAAAAATCGGCATCAACTTCAGGCACGATCAAGGTGATTGGAACGTCCGCACGAAGTGCACAAAAGACTTCAAAAACACACCAAATGCGGGTGGTGTACGTGCCACGAAAGCTGTCCATGCACATAAGCACCTTGCCCACTCTTTGCAACAGTCTCGTGAAAACGTTGAAAAGGTCCTGACTTTCATGCATTTCACCATCCTGCAGGATCCTGAACTGATTGTTGACGAAAACACACCACCATATAAAGACCTCTTTAGATGAAACCTCCGTCACTATCCGGTGCCTGGTGAACCATCTGGACAGCGCTTTGAAAACACTGCTGAGAGCGTACCCCCAAACGTAGGACAGGAACCAGGTGGCAGGGGCACTCTTTCCTTCTTTCCACAATACATCTACAATGCTACAATCCATTCTTCCATCACGTGGACACATGTGGCCCTTTCCCAATGCATGCGGACCGTAGGCAAGCAAGCCAGCCAACTGGTGAAAATTCGGATCTTCAGGTGGGGCGGTAGCCGGCATGCCATCCCAAATTGCATCAAAGTCTTCCATTAGACTGGCTTGGCGGTGTCGCAACAACACGCTCATCGCAACTCTGGTCACGGGGCCGAAGTTATTCAAGCGCCACTCCACCTCTTGCGCCTTTTGGGCATACAAACTTCCTAGTTCCTCCAAGACAAAGTGCAGGGAGATCCCCAGGCCCTGGGATTCCTGGTTGATTTTCTCCTTTCGCTCTGCGATCAAACGGTGGGCCTTCCGGCACCACGGGCCATACTTCAGGAAGGAGGCGCTGGCAGTGTGCAGGACTTCGTAGTCGTGCGCCACAGTAGAGGCCTTCAAGTGAGACCTCAACCAAGCCAGGCGAAGCCATCCACCCGTTATGCACACGAGCAGAAGCATGACAAGGAAGCTGACAAGGATCACCACCAGACATAGAGGAGTGCAGCCAGTCAGCTCCGGATCTGGAACATCCAGCTCAGCATTGCCCGTGTCCAAGGGAAACCCTTTGCAAGGGTAAACAATGGGTGCCATTGCTACAAGGTGCTGAAATTGGGAAGAAACAATACGGAAACTGGACAAAAATACGTAGTGAATGAGGTCTTGTTTTTGGTGAAGAATTGAGACATAGCCCTTGCGAAGTGTTGTCTAATGTAAGACTTTGGGAGTCAAGGTTCAGCAGGATCTTGCAGGCTATTTGCAAGTGGTCGAAAACATGTATTTTGCAGCAAGAGGACATGTTCCGCAATGTTTTGTGGATATGTTTTCGCAATTCTGTCAGAGCAGGTAAGCTACTTCAAACTTTCTTGGTGCCTTGATCTTGCAAGCTTCATTCCTTTTCCTCTATATATATATATATATTAGATTGGAACATCCATGTTTTCAAAGGTGAATAAACATGTGACTGGTATCGACATGTTGTCTGTCTCGTGCATGCGGCTAACAGTTAACATGCCCAGCTCTGCTGGGCAAAAAGACGTCCTCCGTCTCGCAGCTGCTACTTTTGCAGACCGCTTTGGATCTCGGATCGAGTGAAACGTCAGCTCAAAGCCCGACTCTCCTCCTTTGGAAGAATCACCTTAGCAGCTGCACATGCAAAGAACCGCATAGTCTGCTGCCAAAGAATCAAGGTCCACGTATCCAACATGGTTCTCGAGCCTTTCTGAGGCCGCCACCATCAGTGTGTCATTACTGTACCATCTTTCTGGCTTGTCCTCACAGCAGCATCTCTCTTCACTTCCAAAAGCACCTACTCAAAGAAGCTTCGCCTGGCTGATGGGTGGCTTGATTCGGCACACCTCCAAATCGCAGTTCGGATCAGCGGTTCGGCTACGCAAAAAAGAAAAAAAACACATCAAAACAACTCCGGCACCCCCCCTGCCAATCTCTTGCCAAACCAAAAAGCATTGAAAGTGACTACCGCCAGCATGGTCTGCCGGTCTCCGCCTCGTGGCGGCGCTTCCATCCCACCAGCAGACCGCGTTGCCGGCGGACCGCCTCCTGGGTGCCCATGGCGGAACCACGGGGGATGGCACCGGGGGGTTCCCCTTCGAAATGAACAGAGGGACGCCGGGGACACTCACCAAATGTCAAACCTGAATGGAGCAAAAGGTCATGTGAGTCATGTGTTCTTTTGGAAAAGAGTTGGACTTTGAAGACAACAAGGCCTTGATTCATAGAAGCACATGAGAAATACAGCAGAAGTCTGGTGGCGATCGCTGCTGAGCTCAGTGCGCTCAGCTCATTCCAGCTCTTCTCTCCCAAGTAGGAGGGACTCTTGGCTGGAGAAGATGCACAGGCTGCACCTCTTAGGAAAGATCATTTCTTCCTTTTGGAAAGATGGATTTCGCTGCATCTTCAAAGAGAACCAGATTGACCGGGACCTGTATCTTTGTCTTCCCAAAATCGCCAGACCTTCTTGGCCTGGCCACTCACTGAAAGCACAAAAGCATACAAAAACAATTGGCTTGACAAGGTCAGGAACAAGACCCAGCAAAAAAACCCACGCACCTGCAGCGATGGAAAATCTGGAGACATGAGCTTGAGCAGCGCGTGGAACCTCGAACTGTTCTGGGAGGTCAAACTCACCAACCTTTAGATGGCAATGGCATCAAATTACGGTTGGTCGGAACCTGTATTGTGGGTGTGTGTGTGTGTGTTTGAATAGGAAGACCCTGCAACCACTGGGATTTATATAGTAGTCCTTTGTCCTCTAGCGGATCCCCAATGGCGCAGTCTCCCTATTCCAATACACACCCAATATCGGAATCAGTACCACTTTTACCAATGTAGGGATTGGACACAGTGGGCTCAGACATCGCCATCATGAAAAGGCCCGTTTCCAAGGCCTGCACACTGCACACTCAATCCTTGAAGGATGAGTCCACCGGACCATACCCGTGTCCACACGACACGTCCACCTTGCTTCGGAAGAAGAAGAACTCCTGCAAGTTCGGGTTGCGCGCCACCACTCGCTCCGTGCGAGGGTCCAGGACCTGAGGCCAGCGGGCCGTGTGCTGCCCGGACGCCACGGACGTGCTGCACGGACGCCGCCCCGGCGCCTCACAAATCACGTTGGTCTTCCTCTCACTCCTAGGACGATCGGCGCGGGTGACCACCGGCGTGGTGGCAGTGGCCGGGCGGTGGCCGATTTTCTGCCAACGGGGCCCGGGCATGCGCTGGAATGCGGAGACCGTCCCACCAGACAGTTCGTAGGCCTCCCAGAGTTGTTGATTCTTGAGAAAAGGAAGATGCACCAGTAATTGGCCTGGCGTTTTCGAGGAGTTCCTGGTTCAAGGTCTGCTCCCAAAATGTCGGACATCACCTATGAACTGTGCCAAAGTGAGAAAGTCGATCGCGTCGATCTGTGGCAAACCCACAGGGAAATCCCAAACCGTTTGCTTCGATGGCTCCGACGATTCAACCCAGCATACATCTTTCGATCGTGCTACACTGCTACACTTTCTCTTACACGAGAAACACGCACAGACTGATGACATGCATTATGAAAGGCAAGAGAAAGCGCAGACTGATGCTAGGTACAAAGAAATACAAAGAATACAAACAACTGGGACTGAGGCTAGAAGCGATGCCAGGCAGGCGGAATCCTCACCGTTCATGCACCCGCTCGACGGTTTTCTCAGCGGAAACGGTTTGTTGTCCGCGAGAAGAATCACCGGATCTCAGCGCCAGACCGATGTGAGCGTGTCATCTCCTCAAAAAGCAGATGTTGGCGCATGCAAAGTTAGCAATCAGCGAATTGCAGGTTGGCAAACCTGATTAATTGTTGTTTGTCTTCTGTTCAAGCTCGCACAGGTTGGTCGCCACCAGACGGATGAAACATGGGCGAAGCCGGCGAAGCCGCCCTGGCCTACTTCGTCATCCTCCAAAGCCTGGCAAGCACTTAAAAACAAGTGCCAGCAACTCTCTCCACATTCACTTTGTGGAGGGTGATTTTCTGCCTCTGCTTCATGGATGAATATGGGGAGTGATATATCACCTAGACCAGGAAGGCTTCTCAGCGCCCCTTTCCTCGGACCGAAAGCCTCGCTTTCGGCCTGAAACACCCAACGGCTTTCGCCGTTGGCTTTCATACGAATCGTGCTTCCCCGTCCCAGTCATCTCTGGTCATCCCGGGTCGGCCTCTCCAAGATCGTCTTGCGACTGGTCATGCAGCTGGGCGAGCACCACGACCGCACCATCTCGAACAGCCTGGCCACGGTGCCTCTCCACTCTCCACGCAGCGAAAAAGGGAGCCGCTCCGAACAGCATGATGGGCTGTTTCGATCTAAATATATAGTTGAATTTCAGAAATTGCAGTGACATTCTTTGCTCGTTACCACTGTTCTTCGCGTTGGATATCCAATGCAGTCACAGATGTATGCGACACCAGACTGCCCTCTGCGCCTGCTTCAAGGGCAACTTTTGGATCATTTCACGAGAGGTTCGATCACCGTAGTGGTGCTCCAACTCCTCAGTCAAGTCTTTAACTCAACTCAAAGCGAACCTGTTGCCCACGGACATGCAAACTGGAGCTGCAGAGACCCATGCATTCCGCATGTGCTCTTCAAGAGTGGTCAAAGCGTCTAGTCAGTGTTGGTCCCCAAGCCCCAACCCAACGAAATACAACATAGCTCGACAATCCGAGCACTTCATCCGAGCGACAATGTTGGTCAGCTTTCGGCCTTTCAAAACGACACGTACTGCAATAAAAGGCATATGTCCACTTCAATTGAGATCACGTTCTATCACGTTCTATCAAACATCACCCGCAAACATCCTCCTACTACCGAATCCGCCTGCACCCAAGGCCTTGCGTTGATCCAAAGAACGTTCCGAGAGCACGTGAACTTTGGTGCCTCGTTCATGCGGAACGGATCTTCCGCTGCGGGACTGCGCCCGGCCAATGGTCCCGTGGTCCCGTGGACTGGGTCCGCCCGCCCTCCGGGACATGGTCATCCAGCAAGGCCAGGACGTCCGCGAAGTCTCAGCAGCTAGGCTGACGTGGCTGTAGATGAAAGCTCAAGAAATAAGCCGAATGGCTTGGCAAGGTGTGTGAGTGTGTGTATTTGTGTGTGTGCAGTGCTGCGTGTGTGCACGGTTTGTTCACATCTACCATCATTCATCTTTGGTATTGACGACTGCCACGCAGAAACCTGAATCGAAACACAGGACTATTGCCCGCACCAGCAGGCCAGCCGATCACCACGAAGACTTTGTGCTCGGAGGCCTGCACATGCACAACTGAATGATAGAGCCACCGTCCACACAGCTATGCCTGAGCGTTTCAAGAGCTGTGAAGAGAGCTTGATTCTGAGTGGAAAGTGGCAAAATGCGAACGACTTTCATCGCAATGCCACCGCGTGCAGTGCTCCTCTTCTGCTTTGCTTCGTGAGGCGCTTTCAAGCTCTTCTGTAGATGATCTTCCTCCTTGGCTGCAAAAAAGTTCCCTGCTGCGGCCCCAAATCTGGACATCCAGAAATCCTCTCTGAGACTTGGCCCAAGCTTCCGAGTAGAGAGGTCATGAAACCAGGCCGGACATTGCGCCAATGGAATAGCGCTTGAGTGTATGCTTCAAGATCCTGCAGGCTTAGAGCTTACAGGCGTCAAGCTGGGCTTCGATACGGAAAGCTTCCCAATGTGATTGCAATGAGCGCAAGGGATGCGGCAGTTAAAGCAGAGGTGAGCTTTTGTGATACCCAAAGGCAAGCAGGAAGACAACATGTACAAGAAAGCAAAGTCCTAGACAACCCGTATCAACTGAGGTATGTACAGATTGAGAACAAGAAAGAACAATCCTTCAGAGGAACCAATCCAATAGACATGTGCACAAAGTGGTGCTGATTCCAAACAGCGATGCAAAACTGTTCACGTCTTTCCAATGAAAGTTTCAAAGGTAATGTAAGGTATGCATACTCTTATATCCTGCATATTCAGCACCACCAACATTAATGAGCATCATCTGAATCATTCATGTGTAGTCTTTTGTGATTGAAACTGTTGATGCATGACCCCTGCACAAAGATGACACGCTT